GGAAGGAAGGAAGGAAGGAAGGAAGGATGGAAGGAAGGAAGGAAGGAAGGAAGGAAGGAAGGGAGAAGGAGAGAAAGGGAACAGAAAGAGAGAAAGAGAGTGAAGTTTTCCTGACTGAGATTCTGTAGCTGGGGTGGGAGCTTTGCATTTTCCTCCCTCCCTTTAAAAGGGAGAAAAATGACTGAAGCTAAACCCCGGCTGATGAGTGGAGGGCTCCCCAGTCTAGAAAAGCACCTAAGGCCGGTGTCAGTCTTTGGCTTTGTGTAATTTGGCTGCAGGTTTGTCTGAATTGAACCCTTCCGTTCTCAGCTTCAATGAACTCTCCTCAAGAAGAGGGATGTGGTGGGTGGGCGTCCTTAGCCCAGAGGGAAGTGGGTGCCTGCGGGTGGGTGTTAGAAGGGGTACCAGAGCCTTCCAAACCTGTCCCAAGGGTGCTGTTGTGTCTCTTGGATTTAAATACTAGAAAACCCAGAAGGAAGTGCAGGAAGTGGCTATGAAATTTATTTTCAGTTTTTGGAGAGGTAGTCTGGCAGAGTAGAATGTTTGAGAGCATGGTGTTCGGAGTCAGAGCAGGTTCAAATTCTACCTTTTCAACTTACTAGCTGTGTGACCTTGGGCAAGTTACTTCATCTCTCTGAGGCTTAGTCGCATCATTGCGAAGTGGAGATCCTACTAGAGCAGGGGTGGGCAAACTTTTTGACTCGAGGGCCACAATGGGTTCTTAAACTGGACCGGAGGGCCGGAACAAAAGCATGGATGGAGTGTTTGTGTGAACTAATATAAATTCAAAGTAAACATCATTACAAAAAAGGGTACGGTCTTTTTTTTTTTAGTTTTATTCATTTCAAACGGGCCGGATCCGGCCCGCGGGCCGTAGTTTGCCCACGGCTGTACTAGAGCCTGCTTCAGCTGTCGCCATAAGTGTGAATACACACAGAGTCCTGGGACATAGTAAGCATGCAACAAATAGTAGCTAAGATGTAAAATTCCTAAGCAAACCTGGGTCAATCAACAGTGAGGTTTGAGGAATAACATCTATGGGAGTCCAGCTGATGTTCTATGTGCCTCATTCTGACTTGCATTTGGTCACACATGCTCTTCTAGGCACAGGTAAGACTAAGGGGCTATATTTGGGGTCAGCGAGGGTTTCCAGTGTTATGGGCGACCACAAAGGCTGCGATGCACACACAGCAGTTAGGGTGTCTTTTCCCCCTCTCAGGTAGGCTTCCCCTTGACATTGGGCTGTGATCCATATCGGAAATCACAACCTCCACCCACATCAAAGTACCCGGGGGAGGATACCTGCCCTTTTCCCAGAGATGCTTTGCAAAATGTCACCTCCCAGGGGCGAGAAGCCAATGAACCAATGTGTGTGGTGGGAGGAGCCTAGGGTTTAGAGTCAGAAGTTCCATAAGTGATAGGACCAGCTGGCCCTGGGTTAATCACTTCTATGCCTTAGTCTTGGTTCCTAGATTTCTACAACAGGGTGCTAATACTGTGCACTTTGTAGGGTTGAGAACCTGATCAGGTGAAAAAAATATTAGAAAGTGCTTCGTAAACATTAAAGGGCTGAGCACACATCGGTTCATCATTGAGAGAGTGAAGCATCCCATCTTCCGGAGCCACGCCAGCACCCAAGACGATCCGCAAGCCCCCGTCTAACCAATTCTCCAGGACCCCACACTTTTCCTTTGCCGCCCTGATGGCCACGCAGGCCAGGCACTTTTGTGCCATGTTTGTCTCTCATAGATTGGCACGTCTCACTCATGCCTATCTTCCCAGCGACTCACTTGGAACCTGTCTTAGAAAGGGCACTTGGGGAAAATTTGTAGCAGGAAGGAAGGAGAGAAGGCTAGCGAGCAGTTCTGGCTTCAGGGTGGTTGAGGAACAGCAGAGGAATGACCAGATCAAGAAGCCACTGAAAGCCGACATAT